CCTAGATCTTGGTATGGAAGGAGCTGGACTACGGCTCGATGACAGAGTCGGAGAAGCAAATGCTTGTTTCGGAGGTGAACCTGCTCCGTGAGCTCCGGCACCCGAATATTGTCCGGTATTACGATCGGATCATCGACAGGACCAACACGACCCTGTACATCGTCATGGAGTACTGCGACGGGGGGGACCTGGCCAGCTTAATCGCCAGGTGCATCAAAGAGAGGTGTGTGGAGGCTCCTTGTGGCCGTTCTGGAGTATCTAGCGTGAAGCATCTGGGGCCGGCAAAAGCTCAAAGCGAAATGGGTCTTAATAGCTTCTGAACAATCCTGGTTCTCCTCCTTCGGACCAACCTGTTTCTCTGAAATGTGGAAGGGTTGTATAAAAACACAACGCTGGTGGGAATCGTGCTAATGAGTGCACCAACTGATTGGATGTTTATGTCCAAATAGCAAAAAAACCCCAAACAAACCCTGAGCTCTCTTGTGATGCAGAAGCTGTTGAAGGATTTTTTGATCCAATGCTGTGTATTGAAAACATAAAACAGTTCTTGCAGATAGATGATCTGTGGGTTCTTCTGGCTTGCCTGGTAGTAACATCACTTGTACCCTATTTTTTCTTAGATACCAATACCAAAAAGCATGAAAGGGAAAAGTGATTTTGAACATGGTGTTAAAAACTGCTGTGTGTGTCCACGTATAAAATTTATGGAGACATTGACAATATTTCACCTTGGTCTATTCTTGGACTTAGAGCTTACTACTTAAGTATAATACTGGTTTTCACATCCGGAGGTTAAATAAGTACGTGACACCACAAGTATTGCTTTGTGGGAACAGTCTAAAATGCTACTGCAGCTGCGCTCAAATGTAGCAGTTATTTCCATTTTAGGAGACTCGCAGTAAAAAATCCTGTCTTGGCTACATTGTTTTATGTAGTCTTCTCACAGAAGCGTTAAATGGATGTTTGTGTTGTAAGTAATGAGAATGATACATATTTTTAGACCCTTTGCTGCCACAAAAGTTTAGATGTCCTCCAATGTATTTGGAGTGATTTTTCTTTTTAAAAAAAACCACTTAGTTTTTTTAAAAGAGCATATGTAGATGCCTGTTAGCTTTCTATAAAGGTGCTGGGGTGGGTTCAGTGATGTTTTATAGCAGTAGCATTTTAAAAAGCTACAGAATTAAGACTGGCAGCAACTACTTAAAGTGATGGATGCTTAGAGAATACCCTTGTTAAACAGTGTGTTCATCTTTTAGGCATTACTTGGAAGAAAGCTTTGTTCTCCGAGTGTTGACTCAGTTGACATTAGCCTTGAAGGAATGTCACAGGCGGAGTGATGGTGGAGTTACTGTGCATCGTGACCTAAAGCCAGCAAATGTCTTTCTAGATGGGAAGCAGAATGTGAAACTTGGAGATTTTGGACTTGCTAGAATTTTGCACCATGACACCAGCTTTGCCAAAACATTTGTTGGAACGCCATATTATATGTCTCCAGTAAGACCTCCCTTCTGTGCTTTACCTTCCCTCTTGTCCCTCCAAGGTCTGCTTTCTGCAGTGCTGGTCTCAGAGTCTGTGCAAGTTTGGAAGTTTTTAATGAAGAGTTACTAGTCTTAAGTGCAGGTGACTTTTTTCATAGTGTGTGTATGTTCTGGAGACAAGGCTATTTTGCAGTTATCTTTATTTCCTTTCTTCCTTACACCATCACTGTCTTCTAATTAAGGTAGTTCTTCACTATGTAAGTTTTGATATGTTCTTGGAATATTAGAAATTTAAGGTGGTTTTGTTGGAGTATCTTTTTTTCTGAATAGGAACAGGGAAGCTAGAGCATAAACCACTTATGTTTCATAGTGTTAAGGTAAAGAGCTTATTAAAATACCTCTTGATGGTATGATTTTAATTTGTAGTGGAAATAAGCTACAAAGAGTTATTTCCCTCAAACAGCACATTTTTGTGTGGAAAAAATGTTGACTGAAATATGAAGCTCTATCAACTGAAGACTGGTGCAACACTTCAGCTGTCTTATATAGTGTACTACTCCATAACTTGTTAAAATCCTGCTATTAAGAGTAGCCATAAGGTTAATTAAGACAATCGTAAAAGACACCTCAGTAAGTAATGGTTTATTCCAGTTTGAACAGTAGCTGATTTATTCTGCAATAGTAGAACAATGTCTTAGTTAATAAACTTAACTGTTCTTTTTCTTTAGGAGCAAGTGAACTACATGTCATACAATGAAAAATCTGACATCTGGTCTTTAGGATGTCTCCTGTATGAATTATGTGCTCTCTCGTAAGTATGGTAGTGTGGTAATGAATGTGGAAATGTAGCTGTTAGTGCAACTATAATAAAGTTTTGTGTAGATGACAGATGAAATGTTTTGGAGATTAGTCCTGGATTTTTATTTATGTATTGGTCTTGACATTAGGTATTCAAAACAAACCTTTGATTACAGTTTTTTTCTTGCTCTGATACTTTTTAAATAAAAGTAAGTCCTGTAAAAGTAGTGAAAGATTCCAAGATAAATGTTCTTCAGGCCTCCATTTAGAGCTTACAACCAAAAAGAGCTGGCAGAAAAGATAAGGGAAGGGAAGTTCCGACGAATACCTTATCGTTACTCAGAGCAGCTGAATGGACTTCTCAAAGAAATGCTGAATGTAAAGGTAAGAATCAGTTTTTTGTGGTTTTTCTTTTCACCCCACTTAAAACTAGTACTGAAACACTAGTTTTTCTTCTCAGTTATGAACAAACTGATTGGAAGTAGTGGTTGCTATCACCTTGTCACTGGCAATAGCATTTGTACGGGGAAAAAAGGGAGGAAATGTGCTTTGAGTTCATTAAACAAAGGCAGCAACTCAAGTGTGATGCCAGTCTCACAGGATGCCGGAAGGCTGTCTCAATATTTATATAGAATTTCCTAACAGCATGCTGAACAAGGTCCTACAACTTCAAGGTTAAAATGGTTCTAGTGTGTTTCGAATTCAGAAGGGGTTGTTTTGTCTTTGTTTCGGATTTGGCTTTTATATGGCTAATGTACAGCTTGCCCCCCATGGCTGGCATGGGGGTGTTGAGAATGCTGCATGTGACAATGAAGCTGTAACAGGAACACTAGTCTCCAACAGATATGGATCCTTCAGGAATCAAGTGAACAAGCAGAGATGCAGAGTGTTTGCTCTAGAACATCCTGGTAATTGCCACTCACCACTCCACTCTGGGCACCTTGTTTTGGAGAGCCAGACTTACAGCATCTGGAGCTGAAGGCTTGTAACAGCCTCCTCCCTCTCTTGTTATCTGATTGCACTACCCTTTTTTAACTCAATCTTTTCTCAACTTCTCCTTCACTGTATAGCACCTCAGCTGGCTTCCACCTGAGGTGGGTCTTGCTTGGGAATCCCCAGCCTTAATATTTCTTGGTTATGGACGGAACCTGTCTTTCCTTTAGGATTATTGTCGACCTTCTGTTGAAGATATTCTGCAGCACCCCTTGATAGCAGACTTGGTGATTGAAGAACAAAGACAAATTTCTGATAAAAGAGGCTGGAGATCATGGGAGCCAGAAAGGCTACAGCATTCAGAGACTGCAGTGAATGAACTGAAACGGAAGGAACAACAATTACAGGAGCGAGAACAAGCCATAAAAGAGAGAGAGCAACGTTTGGAGCGTATGATATTCCACTTTGGGATGGGGGTGGCAATGGGAGTCTGGTTCAAAAGAATAAGTGTGGAGGAAGGACAGGTAGACAGTTTTCAAAACCCTCATTTTAATGCACTAGGATATCGTACCCCTGCATTCACTACTATTTTGTTCAAAGACCAAATCAAGAATGTTTGGGCTTACTCATCTATACTAGCTCTTGTTTTAAGTTCCTAAGATACACTGGCAGTTTGGAGACAGAAGTCTAGTTTGGGAAGATTATGAAACATGAGTGACAATTAGGGAAGTATACAGAAAAGTAGGGTTTGAATATATTGTTTTGCATGCTGCAGTGTAGGTTGCTTTTCACCTACTCTGTGGAAGTTAACATGGGCTGTACTCGTGTATAACCAAAGATGAGCCTGATGTTGGTGCAAAACATACTTGAGTAAATTGTCAGCTGCTTTTGTAGAAGCTGCACCTTACAGGTAGCTTGTCTGTGAAACTGTACAGATGGCTGGTCCTTAGGTGTTGGGATGTCCTGCCCACAAAATATCTTTCTATGTGCAGTAGGCTCTGTAATACAGATTTTTAACCATATGTATTGCTATTTGAGCCTAAATAATGGCTGCTGCAGCTGCAAACAGGGCATTTTGTCATAGTTGAATTATAGTATCTGGTATCTAAATATTTATTTAGGGCAGTTGCCACGTGTGCCATGAGTTACTATGCAGAATAGAAAGCTGCTATAGCTTCATTGTTGCAGATATAGCAGAGTTTGGGGGTGGGGTAGAAAGCATACCTGGCATTTCAGAGTACTTGGCCAGTGCTTTTTTGGTTCCATTGATAAGGGTGTATCTACACAGTAGTTATCTTGCTTTGTTTAGAGCCACAGAAGCAGAAATATGGGTGTCTGACAGGCTATTGCTGCTGTCGCTTTCTGCAAGACTATTCATCATGTGCAATCACTCTAACATCAACATTTTAACACTCCATACTGCCATATTTTTACTTTCAGAAAGAGAACGGGAGCTCTGTGTTCGAGAGAGACTGGCAGAGGACAAACTTGCTAGGTATTTTACTAACCTATATTTGCCTAGATTATAAACTCTGCAATCTTACAACAAAAAGCTTAAACTTCTCTATTCAAAACAGAGCTGAAAATTTGATGAGGAACTACAATCTCTACCAACAACCGAAGACATTAACTTGTGCAGATGGTCCAGGTATGAAAATACATGAGAAGCCACTTGCAATGATAAATGTAGACTGGTGTGGCCAGAAGAATGTCCCTGATGCTCAGAGTGTTGTGTGTAGACCCATGGTATCAATACAAACCCCAATCATCTCTACGTGGTTGGGAAGAGACTTTTGATTTTTTATTTAATGAATGATGCTCAGTCGTGAGTAGGAGTGACTACTGTTGGCACTGCAATCTTGTGCTGTTTTGAAAATTATCTTCTTGTGCTATGCTAATGGACATGCTGACTTTTAACCCAAACATTCTCAGAGCTGTACTGCTTTTACTTATGGATGTCTTTTTATAGACCTTTGATTTAGTTAATTTCAATAAAACTGCATATGTCTAACGGCTTCAACTTTAGTTCAACTTCCAAAAACATCAGGGTGGGAAATAGTATTTGTTGCAAGTGACTCAGCTGTGATTGACTCATCATATAACCTCTGAAGAATACAAACTGCTATCATACTCCAGCTTAACTCACTAGGAAACAAAAAGCAGTTTAGAAAGTGTGCAATAATGCATCCTGACTACCTGTAGTCAAATTTGTTTTATAGTAATTTTTTACCCCATAAGTATCTGACCCTCACTTTGGCCTCACTGTCCTAAGAGGTAGTATCATCTGTTAATTGCACCAATCTTTTACAGTATAAATTATTCAAGTATTTAAATGCATTTTGAAATAGTGGTGGAATATTAAATAGTTGGGTCCTAAATAGTACTCTACAACAAAGAACTGTGAACACCCTTTAACATGCATGCAGCACCACCATCTTCATTTAGTCTTGCTCAGATAATGCAAGATAAATATGTCACTGCCTCTACTACAAATAAAATTGAAGTTGCTTTGTTTTTTCTTCAAAAAGGCATATCATGGCAGGAAAGAACACAAATTAAATGCCACCACACATTAGTGGTAGTCAAGCTATTTCTAATATTGCTGTCAAATTTGAGAATTTCACCTGCCTCTCAGTATCTTGTCTGACTAATACAATAAAGAATCAAGAATAAACTTGCCTTGGGCTTTCTGATGTTGCTTCTAGCACTGAATGACAGAGGGTAGATATGCTTCAGTATTTGCTTCCTTTACATGACATTTTGATCCTAACAGGATCATTCAGTATTCATTTTTTAAGATGGGCAACACCACATTGAGTAGTTAATACCTTGAGACAGACAATGCAGAAAATTATAGTTAATGCAAGATGGGTTAATGCTTGCAATATCTCTAGATCACTTGATTTAAACATTTGTCACAACATTTGCTACTTTCAAATTAATTCCATGTTAGTCTACTAATACTACTTATAAAATTCTTTCCAACTCTTTTCTGTTATCAAAATTGCATCTTTTCAGTTACTGTCTTTTTCTACAACTGGATTGCATTTCACTTCTTAGATCCCTCATTTCTCCTCAAAGTCATTTGTGTGGTTCAACTTCACAGTGAAAGGGAATTCCAAAAGTCCTCTAGGTCAGTGTCCTAGACACTACCCTGTTTCTTCAGGGGTTTTCTGCTTCTTAGGGAAGGATTTAGTGTTAAAACAGGTCCATCTTACTGGTAGGAAACTAAAATGCTGAAACATTCACTAGCCCCTTCAATCCGTCTCACTTTTCTGTGCTTATTGCATCTTTGCTACAGCCTAATGAATTTAAAATTAAGGCTTCAGCATTTATTTTTTTTTATTTGGGATAGTTAAGCCTTTGATATGGTTGTTTGTTTCCCCCTGCCCTGAGCTGAGTCTTGTGAAGTTGGCTCTTACCAGGGACAGCTCTGCCTTTTTAGTAACTTTTGATGGTAGTTTTGTACTGTAAGCCATTATAGCCAAAACAAACTGTCTTTTGACTCTGGCAGTTCTATACAGCTAAAGTATGGCTATACTATGGAAAGTCCTGCTCTGGAGGCTTCAGTGAAAGTAACTTCCAAATTGTTAATTCATTAAAATGCCTTCTTCATCAAATCAGAGTCCAGTTTGTACCCCATTGACTTAATGCAAGGGTAGTGTTGGAACAATGTAGGTAATGCACAAAGACCATGGGACAGGTTGGGTCTGCCTCTGCTATCAAGGAAAGATAAATTTTTTTTGGTAGCTGAGAGCCATATTTTTCATTTCCCTTTGGAACTGGATTATGTTACTGTCCTTTCTCTGTATGTCAAACTAATATTTCCTTAGGTTGTTAGGAGGTGCACTCTAGGAACTACAATGGTATATTTCCTTTTAAGCCAATTATTTAAAAAACCTTGTTGATATTTTTTCCTCCAAAAATTAAAACCAATTGTTTCTATGAACTGAAATGCATTTACTTAGATTATTTAAAGCCATAGGTAGTTAGCAAAATGGGTAGCAGACTTAAAAGACAAGTTAAGTAATAAATGCTGAAAGATGTGGTAACTCATACTTATTTTTTAAATTTCTTAAGATAATGCACTCCTGCTCCCCTGTTCTACAACCAAGAAGAAAGTACACTTTGATGGAAGTGAAGAGAATGCTGTGCCTCCTATTAACTTAGAAAACTGTCCTGTTTCCAAAGGAAAACACTCTGATCTCAAAAAACGTCTATATGCTGCAAATCTACGGGCTCAAGCACTGTCTGAACTGGAAAAAAACTATCAACTAAAGAGCAGACAAATCTTGGGCATGCGCTGAAACTGTAACATATGTTCTGTATTTAACTTTTTGGAGTAATTGCATGTACAGGAGGATATTTGCCCCTCTCACTTTTAAGCTGGAACCTACTGAAAATACATTTTAACAGTTGTTACATGAACTCTTAGTCTATGGTAGGTAGTTCATGATAAGAGCATAAGAGATTATATTATGAAAACAAGTGGTTTCAATACCAAGTCAAACAAGCTGAATGAAGTGTATTATTAAAGAAAAAAATATTTTGGTCCTCCTGTTTACCATACATTACTCTTCTTCTGCAAATATAAAGAATTAATATTATAAAATAGGGGATTTTTTAAATCTGGTGTGAAAAACTTTTCAGGTTAAAAATGTACAGAGGTTAATCCGTAGCTTAAAATGATCCTGTATGTTATGTGCAGTACCTGATTAAAAGTATTGATATTTTGTATATGTGAAAAAAGTGGCTTTTTGTCTGTACTTGTAAACACTTTTTAACTATCAAAAGAACCAAAAGTTTTTTATGCTGTCTCTTCCTAGTAACTAGGTGACCTATGAAAGCCGGCTACTTTTAGTTTAATGTCTTGGATTAATGAGTGGGATGGGTCAGTCTAGCCTAATTGATAAGTTTATAGTCCTTTCTGCTTCACAGCTTGTCCAGCAGCTCCTGAAAGGCCTGTTTCAGGGTATAGCATTTGAAAGAACACCTTCTCTATCTTGCATTGAGGCTGTGTTAAACTCATCCACTGAGGCTGCTGTCCTGGATGGGACACCACCCAGGGTACCAGCTCCTGTGTTTAGGGAGGGACAATTGCACCTGGAATAACAAATACGTATTTTCTTGAAGCTTATGAAGTAACTCCATTTTCCCCTTCATAGAGTAGGAGTTGCTTGCTTGAGGTGGTGTAGTTTTAATGAACTAATGTGGACTCATTAATTAAAAAAAAATCTTTGGAACTGTAATGTCTGACATATATGTTATATAGTGATTTTCTGCTTCTGGGTGGAAACTCCATAAGCCATACTTTCTTAGAAAACAGCTAATTTTTGTAACATTTGTTTCCTTATAGGGCCATGGGTCTTACCTAAGGAGGTATTTATTCCAGATGCTTTTTACTTGAAATAAGATAACGTTATTTAAAACATCCATTTAATTTGATGTATTTGCTGACAGACAAGTTCTTGTGTCACCAAACAATAGTTCTGCTCCAGCAGATTCTTAACCACCTACCAGAGCTTGTCATATTTGCATGCATAGTGGTTACTGTATTCACCACAGCCTTTGCTTAACAGAATAAGAATACGACCACTTGGTATGCTAGTCTGAAACTACCACTATTCTGGTAGTCAATACCCACTGCTTGGTGTGGCTGGAAGTGCCTGGCAGGGATGCACAGCCTAAGTAGCTGCGCCACACGGATCTGTGCAGCTTTCCAGCTGCATTCTTTCATATTCTTTAAGGTACTCATATATTCGGAGGGTGAATCCTTGCTTTCTCACCATGTTTGTACATTCAGATTTTTCTGTTCTGTGCTTCAACTGGAAGATCTGCAATGAAGTTCTGGCTTTTGTGTGAATCTATTGTATAGCCCATAAATTAGCAAAAGGTAGAATATGCAGTAGTGTTAATCTAATCTGGAAAAATATTTAGGATGCAAGAATTTTGTTGTATGCTTTGTCATCTGCAGAATACAGGCGCTACTTAGTGAAAGGAGGAGAGCAAGCAACCAAGAAAATAAATTAGTAATTAATTATTCAGGAAAGGCATTGTGAAATTGCTGGTGTGCAAATGCTGTGTTTTTAACAGGACCTAACTAAGAAAATTGATTGGGGGGGAGGGGTGCTCGGTTTTTTCTTTCTTTCTTTTTTTAAAACATATATGTAGAGCAAGCAATTTAAAAGTAAAATAGAGCAATTCCTGTCGCTTTCCTCTTTTAATTCTCTACTGACCTCAAGATGTCACTGTTGCCCTGCAAGTGTTGGGAATTTCCTTTGGGCTATCGATATATTCATACAAAATTAAAGATCTGATTTAAATATGTTGTTACCTGTTTTGTTTCAGAAAAGATGCTGATTTGCTTAGGCTGCAGATGCTTTAGTATTTGCTGGTGCAATTAATTGTAATTATCTCTGATTTGCCATTTTGCATCTTTTATGCATGTTCTCTAAAAACTGTTGAATCAAAGCCTTAGTTAACAATTAAATAAGAAATGCTATGGAGAGTGCAAACTGTCAGTCACAATGGCAGTAATAAATGAGAACAGCTTAAGTTACAGCTGTAGCGTCGAGCTGTTTAATCTGCTTTACTCACAACGTCTTCTTGAAGTGTTCTCACTCTACTATGAAGACTGCAGTAACACTTGAGGTTTTTGAAGTAAAAACTTTCTTCCAGTATGTGCCAAATACAGGGGAAGGCATCCTGGAGACAGTCCTCATTGTCTCCCAGGATTTTTGCTTTGGAATCTTGGAATTCGCGTTTTCCTACAAAGGCATAACTGTTCTTCAGGAGCACACATGTAGCACTGGAATCGCATTCAGGATGTAATTTTCAAATATATTCAGGAAAATAAAGAGAACATTTGTGGGAATGGTGACTGCTTATAGAGTGCTTGTCACTATGCTGATGGGTATACTTATCTCTTAGAAGCGAAGGTAAGTTGTAAATACGTACATGATACAGCGTAAGCATTACAGCATGATAATAAGCATGTACACTGCTGAATGTGGTGAGATAAATTCATTAATGTTTAATATCAGTATCAGGAATTTTAATAATAGGTACAGCTGTAGGCACATAAATGATATATAGAAGTTACCTCTGAAGTTTATGGGCATAGAATATAATTTAGCTCAAGGATAGATAGGAGGGGAAGTTGCATCATCTCTGAAAAATGTGGACCAGGTCCCTGATTTTCAGCCTTCATGTGTGAGCTTGATCAAGACCTTATCCCCAGCCTTGGGGATTCCATCTGCAACAGCTCATCACAGGGAGGTGCTCAGAGACAGCACAAGGTACAGGTCTTCCGCACTTGTGCAGATTTTTGGTAGCAGTGACTCAGCCACTTTGATCTCCAACTTTGGGCAGCTGTGCATGTACTACGGAGTGGAATTTACTGGGAATACAGTTCTAAGTTACCAACTGTCCCTTCTGCAGCCAGTTGACCAGGCCATTCTATGTGACTACATGACTTAAATGCTGTAAAAATGCTGGCTAGCTGTGCAGATAAAATGCTTAAAGGAAATCAGACTTACATAGAGGACCATCATGCTGCTTCCTAAACATAAATATCAATAGACTATTTAATGTGTACTATATCATTGAACAGGTGGAGAGGTACATCCCTCTGGACCTATTATAAATAGTTGATCATAGGAATTTCACATTGTTGCCTTTACTGACAGTGAGTAATCCAGAAGGAAGTGATCCGGTCCTCATAGTGGCACAAGCTGGTTCATAGGTGCTTGTGGAAAGAATCAATCTCCTGCAGTTTCCTGATGCTACCACAAACAGTGCAGAGCAGAAGCTCCCTGTTATTGCTCTCATCTTCATCCAAAAAAGAGAGATTGATCCTCACTTATGCTGCTCATCACCCTAGTCCCTGAGTGTGTACTTCTTGCTGTGCTGATAAAAGTCCATTTCCCAGGCAGCAATCCTAGCATTCATAGCCCAAATTACAGCAGGTCCCAGTAATGGTACAGTGACAGTTTTTGGGCCACGTCTCTGTCTTATTCGTCCCTTGTGTAACTTGTGAGAAGCCAGAGGAATCCCAGCACCTCAGACGTAGAAGCTGAAGCCAGCCCTGGGAGCCTGTGTAATAGGCTTTTCAGCACCATAAAAGACTTTGGCCTAATGAAGGCTACATACAGTATAATCCACATTGGGTATTACAAGTGAGTTATATTTACATATTTATCTTAAAAGTTAGCTGACAGTTAAATATTAATCTTTACAACTTTAAAAAGCTCCACAGACTGATAGCATAATGCCGTATACTGTTATACTGCTTTTCCATTTAATCTTGCTTTCAGCCAGATCAGCAATGCTGAGAAGTAACTATAGTAGATGCAAGACTGCTTTTATCTGACACACTATTTTGAAGGCAAAGTGCACTTTTGAGGCTCAGCTGCCATGACAGGATGAAGTTTTGTTGGAAAAAAACTCCTTTGTAGTCTACAAAATGGACTCATGCCAGAGTTTTATGTTATAGAAGGAAAAGAAAGGCTCCAGGGATACCTAGAATTAGCTAGCTCCAGATAGTCTTATTTTTCAAGGCAGGCTCTTTCTGGCTAAGAGAACATGATGTATTTGTGAAAACTTTTGGCTAATTAACTTTCATTTTTGACTGGTTTAATTTTTGACTGATGGATGATGCTTGTTGCTGGGCTACCTGGTTCAAGCAGAGGTAATTTATGGGCCCAGGTATTACTGCACTGTTCTCTACTGTACGTATATTCTTGATCTCAATGCCCTGGCAACTGAAGCTCTGAACTGGACATGACATAAGTGAGTAATAACAATAATACACCTTCCACTATCAACCATCATATGTACTTTTTTTTGTCGTAAAACTAATGCAACGTGCAGATTTATGAGGAACATGGCAGGTACTAAGCAGGTGCTTGAATGTTTGGCTAGAGCTACTAATTAATTTTATTTCTGTTATTCATACTACTCTGAAAAAGTTTTTTATTTGCAAAGATAGCTGTTAAATACTTTTTGTACTGTTTAATCAGCTCTTTTAGCAGGTCCTGCTTTTGCGAGGTCAGCAGAAGCAAGTGTATGCATAATACAGATTTTTGCACATGTTGTGTCAGTTGAAGTCCCAAGGACATGACAGAAGCCCAGTGAAGCCAAAGCTTTCCTTTTAATTCAGTGAACCCTTGGCCAGACTTCAACTTCATTAGAATTAGACATACTAGACATTTGTAAATACTCACACTTGTTTGCTATTTGGGGAGGAAGGGCATTGCCAAAGGCACAGCAGGAACAAACCGTCCATCATCCCCAACAAAAGACAAGACACTTTAGGTAGAGCTCTCAATCTTGCCTTCGACCAAATTGGACTTCCCTTGA